AGAAAAAGCATTACTGAACTGTCTTCAGAATTGTCATTGCACAGTGGTGCCATCTGCTATATTTAAGATGATAGCTCACAAGCATGCTGTAATGATTTGCCTTTGTGTTTTAGGAGAAATAAGTTACTTTTACATCATTTGAAGGTGGAAAGGCTGGTGTTTGATAGCTTGTCTGTGTTGAAATCAGGAAACATATCTTATTCTAATAAGCCAAATAAAATGTAAATCTTGTCTAAAATCTATACTTCTTAAGGCTTCCTTTTGAAAACAGGTAATTAGGGATTGATAATAAAATATTACGTAGGCAAATTGCCTTCAGTGGAAGATGGGAAAATGTTCTCTGCTGACAGACTTGTACAAAAGAGCTTAAAGGGAGGTGTCTGGATAAAAAAGCAATTGCTTTCTGTTGTCATTCCTAGGCATCTGGCAGCATTGTGTAGCATTCTTTCAGACCTCTGTTTTGAAGAATCCTAAGAGGAAAGGTAACTGAGAGCTGGCAGCAAGTAATGAGAAGAAGAATTATGAAAAATTATCATACCAGTTTAAGAAGTAGGAATGAGGGTATGTGTGAAGCAGAAGCTACACTCCCCAGCAGTGCAGCTGTTCTCAGAGAGGGGGTTAAATCTAGAACAGAGCAAGCATGAGCTCTGTGAACCTGTAGAGGAGCACAGTGGAAAACAGCTTTTAATGTTTTCAAAATGAATTGTTCTTCCCAGCAGGAGAGACAGACTGCAATAATTCCACAGGTAGATTGGCTGTGGATTAAAACTCTCATTTACGCTCCATCAGTATGAATAACTGAAAAGATTTCATTGTAGAAAACATTTCTTCAGAAAGATAACTCCATTTTTGTTCTCTGTGCTTTTTCTTGAAGGTTGACTTCTCTTCAAAGACACTGGGACAAGAGCAAAAACTGATTTATTAAGAAAAAGAAATCTCTATCATTAATATTTACTGTCCTCTTGCCAGATATGTCTCAAGGCAAACTTTTGACAGGAGATAATTGTTTTATCAGATTATGGCATAAAATTATACAACATAGAATTGGTCTTTGTACTTCTATGACTAACACAAGTTTAAGTGCCTTAATCTTAATTTACAGCATTAAATGTCTTACAGTGCTGCACAATACAGATTAAATACAGAATATTTGAATTACTCAAGTGTAAGAATAACTGAATCCATTTTAAGATATCTGAAAATTAAAATAGTTAATCGATCCAGACACCAACTTTTATACACCCATCTGTAGATTGTACAGCTGGTGTTGTGTTCCCGTGTGCTGTGGGTACAAATGAATGCCGGGGAGAATGCACATGGCTTCCCTTTCCAGCCCCTTGTAAGCTCCAGGCCATGCTCTGCACCTTGTTTGGTTTAGTGGCAAGATACTTTGCTCCTGGCTCTGTGCAGCCCGCCCAGTGCCCTCCTTTGCCTTCCTGCATGGAACTCTTCAGAAAACAAAACAATGCTGCTTTGTGATGTCCATAGGTAACTGAAAACTCATTTCTTTCCCTTTGACATTTTTCTCAAGACTGTCTTCTTGCAGAGTGTTCAAGAGAAAAACTTGGTAACTGGCAGGCTGTGCATTTCATGAAGCAATTCCATTATGCTGTCCAGGGTTATCTCACTTCTGTCTTGTGCTCCATCTCTGTGTGTCTCATCTGAAAAACACATTGTCAGTTTTTGGGGTCAGAAACTGTGAGCAGAGCTGCCAGGCTCTGTGGTAATGCAAATAGATAACAAAAAAAAAAATAAATAGAGCAGCACACAGGCAAGCCCCAGGGACTGACCAGCAGCTACAAAAAGGCAGGGGTATAGGATATTAAGCTTTAACGTTTGTCAAAGAAGGAAAAAGATGTAAGGGACCCCAGCCAGGCTCTGCCCTGTAGGCACTGGTATGAGACATCAGTGCTGAAAATTTACCATGTTTTTTCTGCTTGTGGATTGTCTCACCACAAACTGCCCTGAGAGTGGTTTTTGCTCAGCTGCAGCTGTTTGCATGTGTGTGAGATGTAGATCAAGGCTATGCTCTTAGTACAGAAACAGCCCTCTGGCTTGTTTGTGTTGCATAAAATGGTTGTGCTGTGCTCCTTAGGTTGAAGATGGAAGAACACAGAGACTGGTAAGCTATTTGTAGTGCATTTAATGGTTTTGCCTATTTAAAAGCAGACCATGACTTTCCAAGCAGCATCACAACCTCTCCTGCCATTGCTAGCCCTCCTATATCTAACCTTATTTTTTCCACATGGGCATTTTTCCTTCACTTCCCTCTGCATCCATGTTCCTAGGATCAGAGAGGTGGTTCTTTGGGTGCACGGCGATAATTTTTCTGTCTGCACTCAAACACAATAGTAGAAGGTATGTCCACTCATGAAAACATTGCTTTTTTCTTGTATTATGCTTGGCTGGTATAGGATTCACAAAGTTGGCTGTCTGTAGGAAAAGTCAGGTGGACCATATTCAGGTCCACAGATAAGACTTTTCTCCAAAATTTGTTTTCTTCTGTGAGAAAACAGCTGTATTTTATCAAATTCTGGGCAGTAGTCAACATTTCTCCAGGCATTTGCTGTACTCTTAAAAAAAGTTTTAATTGAGTAAAGTGCTGTTGAGTGCACTTTACAGTCTTTTGGGGGGCTGAGTTTGGGTCACAGCTTTTCAGCTTGGGGCACACATGCCATGACCCAGTAGATTTCAGGAATTGTCCAGTTCTTGAATTTTGGTAAAAAGAGATGGATGTAGCTTCTTAGTCCTTCTTGTGACTCAGGAACACAGGCTTTCTGGATTTGTGTGTGATGGAGTGGTAACCTTCAAGAACTTCCTTTAGTTTTTGAAGTTGACATCTTGTTGGCAGCAACTTCATCAGCATTTCAAATCTGGCTTCTTAATTCAGTGATTTTTATCTACTGAAGGGCTTGTGATCAGTAGAAAAAATGGAAACTGACCCATACCAATGTGCAGTCAGCAAAACACATCGTGTGGTCATGCCGGTTACACAGAACAGGAAGCTAGTAATGAACAGAAGAGAAGGAACTGCTGGTGTTTAGTCTGAAATGGCTGCAGGGCTCAGCAGGATAAAAGCACAGCTTATCCAGGTCTGTCCAAGATAAAGCAATACTTTCTACTTAACGTAGTTTGGCCAGTCAGCCAGGAAACACTGCATAAAATTTGTCACTGGTTCTTAAATGTAAGCAGTGATGAAATCCCTGCACAGAGAACGGATATTACTTGCTAATGGATTTTGCTGCCCCAAAGAATAATGACATTTAGTTCATTCATGCCCATGGTGTTGTGTCATGGTCAGAAAAATGCTGGAGGAAGGACTTTCTTTTGTGAAATGTCTGGCATTCATAGACATTAATTTTAGTCAGTTGGATGATGGGTTTTGCATTTTGTGCATATCAACTGCTTACTAGCTAGGACTCAGCTTTTCTTTCTTAGTGATTAAGTTTTCTTGCATCTGGCTGAATTTCTTTAAACAAAAAATTAAGGAAGCCTAACATACTGCAGGATAGTCTAACTGAATTGATAATGATGTAAGCAAGTCTTAAAATATTTTCTTGGAAATCTCTTAGAAAACAGGCCTTTTCTTCCCTGCACTAT